TGGTGACTAGCACCCACTGAGCTCTCTGTCACACACTGAGGCAGGAGAAACCTTCACTCCTTCCTCCCTGTGACTGCGCAGGCTGGCAGGAGTGAGGGTAACACCCAGGTGAGACACTGCCCAGCAGTAACTGGGAAACACCCTGGGCCAGACCCACAGTGCTTGGTGCTGGAGGAGGCTCCTTCTGCTCCAAATCCACAGCACAGACAGAGCAAAATTGTAATCAGACAGCAGATCACCAGGGCAGAGAGTGCTGCTGACAGGCAGTGAGGAGTGGCAGCCTCCGTGCCTGCCCGACCAGGCAGCCACTGCCTGTTCCCCTGCCTGCAAGCCACACACTGCTTACAAAACTGGGACAAAACCACTCTCACCTATAAATCCCTTCCTGGCCATTTCTACAGTAAAATGCCTCGTTATTTTCTCCAGCTCCTGTTCCCGTAGAAGAACATCAAAACACAGTTGTTACTACAGGCCTCAAGAAAAATCACAGAGCCGTCGTGTAGCATCTGGCAGCTGCCCTGCTCTGCCTGTACAGGGCACACCCTGACATCTCCAGGGAGTTAATGCACAGCAGCTGAAGACCCTGGATTGAAAAAAAGAGATGTATGAACTCTTGGTGCCTTTGCTCACTGCTCTTCCAACCCCTCGCTGATTTGTACCTTCCCCCAGCACAGCAGGCAGCAGCAGGAGCATCCCTACTCCAGACTCCTTCAGCATGTCTCTGGCCAGATGCGCTGACCCATAAACCAGAGCTCCCCCCACCTGAAGCTGCTTTTCACTGTTGTTGAGTGAGTGTTACTCACCACAAACATCTCCCCCCGCTTGTCAGAGTGCACTGCTGTGATACACACAGAGGGAGGGCTGTGCAAATGGAGCATGAGTTATGGTCTGTCGGCGGAGGAAGGAGAGGAGTGAACTCACCGAGTATTTACTTGGATCAATCCTCACACCTGCCATGGCACCACCAAAAGGCACATCTGGAAAAGACCGGGTAAGGCAGACAGATGTTCTCTGCCAGCTCATCTGCTCCCCGGGTGAGGAGGTGACTATGGCAATCATGACCTTGTTGGCGAATCCAGGCAAGGAGCCAGCATTTCCCGACCCCGCACATGGCTCCCCTCTAATGCCACGCGGCCTCTGCGGAGCAGAGCCAAAGGCAGGACAGGATACGGGCCCTGAGCCTGCCACAAACGCCACCAGCCAGAGCTGAATCCATGACAACCCAGGCACAGAGACTGCATCTGAGAAGCATGATGCTTGATGCTCCCTGATTAACACAAACATCCCAGACTGCCAGTGGCGTATTCTGCAGCCCCAGCAAGCCTTGCCCTTGCACATCTGTGCCCAGAGGAACATCCTGCACTTCTGGAGCACTTCTGATTTTCAAAGCACCTAACAAGCTTTTCTGACTCACTGTATCACAGCCCCATCCCATGCCCAAGTCACCACATGCTTTACATTCCTCTTGTACTTACCCACTACAGCACATTTGTATGTCATTAATGCAGCCAGGGCTTTTACTTCATCGGCACCCATTGAGCTGCTGAAACAAACCCCTGGGAAAGGAGAGAGAAGTGAAGAGTCCCTGCCTTTTTACCACAAATGGCACAGAGACACTGTAGGAAAGGTTTTGACTCTTCTGAAACAGCATCTAGTCACAATAGGTGATCAGCAATCGTTCAGCTAGACTTGTTCTTCCAGATCACCACAGAATGAAAAACAGCTTCCTACAAGCCATCCATCCCACAGCCTTTGCTGTGGTGAGCACCTCAAACAGTGCAGCTGCAGCACGGCAAAAGCCTCAGGCTCAGGGCGAAGGGACAGGAGGCTGGGACCCAGCAGGCTCAGAACAACTGCCGTTGCTTTGAGGTATATTGAGGGCAGCGAGTGTATGGTATTTAGGATGAGGAGTCAAACGCACACAAGGTTGGCTTCCAGCCACGCAGCTCTTGTGCTCCGGTGTGAGCTGGAGCAGCTGGGCTGCAGCTGAGGTTGGCAGAGCTGCCTGCCCCAGGTGCCTCCCGTCCTTCTGTGGGATGCATTCAAGGACAGCGTCCTCCTGGGCACCTCTGTACACATCCTGACCACCACTGTGCTAATGCAGATGCCTCCCACTCAGCCACCCCGCTCCCCCAGCCAGCCAAGCCCCACGCCGCAGGGCCGGGATGCAGAAGCGTGCAGCGGGGCCGTGGCTCCCTGCCTCACCCCCTTTGCAGGGCAGGCGGTGCTGGCTGTGCTGGGCCCGCCAGCCCCGCACCACCTCCCAGGCGCCTCTGTCCCTGCGCAGGGGGAAGGCCACCTCCAGGACGTGGCTGCAGCGCCGGATGGTCTCCAGGATCACGCACACCCAGGGCAGCCCACCCTGCTGGGTCGCTCCCGCCTCCATCATGGCGGCTGCCCACCTGTAGAAGGCCTCCACCATGGCCGGCAGCTTGGGGTCACCGGGGCTGCCCCTCGCCAGGCCGGCCGTGCCCCGGCACCACCCCAGCGCCGCCATGGGGCTCCCCCGGCCCAGCCGCCTCCCTGCTACCCCCAACATGGCTGCCCCCACCCCACCGCCCGGGCAGGGGGCAATAAGGGGTGCCCTGGGTGGCTGAGGGCACGCCCTTCAGCAAACGGCTCTCTGATTGGCTGATCCCTGCCGGGATGGCCATGGGGGGGCGCTGTGGAGTGGGACATGGGCAGGGTGTGTACTTCAAGGCTCTTCTGATTGGCAGATTCTGTGGCCAATGGGAGGTGGGAAGATGATGTGGGCGGGGTCTGCACAGGAGAAGATGCCCCCAGGGGGTGTGGTCAGCAGGGGGCGGGGTCAGCAGGGGGC